CCTAGAGGAACCTATTTTTCTCCATTAACTATAAAGGGATTCAAAAATGCCTGGCTCAGATTTTAGATGTCTAACTTTCAAATGTTAAATTACAACCAATTAAGTCAATCACATGTTGTCCCCTAGCAGAACATATTCTTTCCCTCTACAACCATTCAATTCAGTCAGTATCCACAAAGAAAAGGCTGGAAAGAGAAAAATGAGTCCTGAATCTTCCCTGAACCTCCTCACACATTTGCAGTAATTGTCATCCACAGCATGCAAGTAGAGAATAATGTGTATTCTCAGAAACTTTTGAGTCTGACTCCTTTTTAATAGTCCATTATTTCCAGTTTTGGGACACTAACTGATACATGTGGAAGGAAAGTGTCAGAAAGGGTATTATCTTTTGCTGCATCTAATGAGTACCATCTGGACAGCCTTACACACAGAAAAAGTATTTTGCACCTGTTTTGCACATCATTAAAAGCCAGATACATTTTTCTTTTATATACCAACATCAGTGTTATCCCTAGAAACACTATATTTCCAGCAGCTGACTATTTGGATTGTGATGCATCTGTTTTCTACCAGAGAGGCACAGGTCTGCAGTCTGTAGAATTTCAAAATCTCTTTCTTGCTGTACCACTTGAAGGAATTCACCATAGCTTTGCTGTTGTGTTCATAAAATTTCCATTTACATAATTTTTTATAATCAAATACTGTGTGACCTTTCATGCATACATACTCTCTAATGTTAAAAAAAAAAAGAAACAAAAAACCAAACACCAAAACAATAATTGTACCAATACAAGTTGTTTCAAATGTAAATGTAGCTGTAGAAAAATGACCACATACATGCTAGCTTTTACTAGTGTTTTTATATTATGTATGAGGGATTATATATTTCTTTTTCTTCTAGAAAGCTTCACTCTTCATGGCTTTGTATTATTTCTCTTAATATCTTTTTTATTAAGAAATAGCTAAATAAGTTCTGCTTTTTTCTTATTGTGAGGAGTATTCTTTATATGACAACTCAGGATGCCACAGAGCTTTGCTGAGAGGTCAGCTCTGAATCCCAAATTCTTCAGAAGCCAGACAGGAAATAACTGAACACGAAAGAGTTTGGAGACACATATTTTCAAGAACAATATTTTCATTGTAACTACTGAATATTAAACCACCAAAGAATGACTTTTCACCTAAAATATAAACCTCTTGAGGATTTAAACTCCCTAAAATATCTTTCTTCATTGCTAAAAATTAAACTACTCTTTTTTCTCTTTTTTATTTTATATTTGAAGACATCTACATGTACACAGAGTGTCTGCACATGTACAGAGAGTGTCTGTTTATCTATCTGTATGTCTACCTATATGCATATATATGTATATAGTAGCCCTTTTAGTTCCAAAAATGCAGTTACAGGTAATGTGAAAATGGGAAGGAAAAACCGATTTACTTATCCAAATCAGTAGGGATTTTTTGTCACAATTCTATCGTAGGATATAAAAGTATAGGTAAAGGGAAGGGTAAAGGAAAGGAAAGAAAATTCAATATCGAAAAACTATAATGAATTGCACAATATTGTAACATCTGGCTGTATAAGGTAAGACTGCACCTGGGTAATACTTGTGAACATGACCGTAAGATATGTGGGGCAATACAAAGATCCACAGACCTCAGCAGCACTACAGGAGTATCAGAATGAACAGCTTCTGAAAAATGTCATCAATGTATTATGTATAAAATAGATCTGTACTGCACTTCAGTGTCAGCCATGCATGACTTTCTGTTCCTCTGTTGGCCTTACTTAGCATAGGGAAGGAAAGTTAATTTCCATTCATCTGGTCTTCTCTAAAAAGTAACATCTTTTTAAGTCATCTCCTAGGGAACTTCTGAAAAAAATGAAAAACTAGATCATAGAGTCCTTGAGTTTATGAGTAAAAAATTTCCTGGGATAATACAATTTGGAAAAAAACTGCATGTATCTTGGGAAAAAGATATTAGCAGAAAGTTCTTAGCTGTTTTTCATTATTTGGCTGGCAGTCTTCATAATAAATACAATAGGAGGTGTCTGATGGGGCAAGTCATAATATAGCCTCAGCAATTTAGCTGGAAAAGCTTAAGAAGATGTCACTACACTCCTCAGCTGAAAGCTACTGTCCTGACAGTTGTGACCCAAAAATAAACAGTGTGACCACTTCAAATCCATTTCAGAGTAATGTCACAGGGTTATCTTAAATCAGTGCTGAATATAATTTCAGATTATTAGGTTTTGATAAATACTTTATAATGGATAATTACCTTTATAACAGGAAGATATTGATGAATTCCTAAGGTTCTTTGTTGATTTCTTTTCTAACTGAAGTATTACAATGAATGCTTCATCTTATCTGCAGATACATTCAGCAGATATTTAGTCAGTTCTCTCCATAGTTGGTTGGGAAAGAAAGGCCCAAAATGGATTTGGCATGATTTATACCCATTAAAATATTTACCATTTTTGGTAATGGTTTACAGGTTTACAAAGTAAAAATGTTATGCTTCAAAATGTTATTGATATTTTAACTTTATTAATAAACTAATAAACTGTTGTCTTTTCTCCAGCCATACACTATGACAGTATTGTATAATAAGCCATATGACACTGTGGAACAATAATGTTCTTTGTGCTACGATTTTTTGGTGCTATACTAAACTCTCTGGTCTAATTGAATTACCTCATTATAGAGATAATGCATAAATGAAAGGGTCAATTTCTGTTGATGTGAAATAAGTCAGGTTAGATATTTGTGAAATTGTTCCAGTTTTAAAATCTATATACCTCTCATGATGTCTGTCCATTTTGTACATTGATAAAATTGTGTCACATACATTTCTGGTTTTATTATTTTATCAGGTTTATATAATCTTGCCAGTGTAGATTCATTAAAAATGATGCTACTCCTGTATGGAGCTCTGTAGAAACAGTAGAAGCTGACCTGCGGGGCTCTGTGCCATTTGTGATGAGCATTATATCAAAATTCATTTGAAATGCTGTCACAGACACAGGAAACAAAAAAAAAAAAAAGGTATTATGTAACATATGATTTCTACATCTTAGAGCAAAGAATATTAGGAAACCTGTCCAAGGTAGGTATTTCTGTGAGTGTATGGGTATTGGGGGCACAGTCTGTCTGACAGGCTAGCTGTATTTTTTCTGAGTGATTTCAACAACTAAGTTATTATTACTATGCAAAATATTTAGAGAAAGCCAACAAAGACTTAACAGAAATCTTTAATTTCTGTTTAGCACTGGCTATATCAAAGTGCTGTGAGTCTGTCAAGCAACCATAGGTTACTGCATTGAAACAAAGGTAGTCTGGGATCATTTTAAACCACTGTGATCCATCATACTTCTACTTCATGAAAAGATCATGGTACTATTGGTACTTTTTGGCCTCAAGAGGTGCCTAAGGATCTGTCAAAACTTCTGGTTAGTTACCTGCAAAAATGAGGTTTGAGTAGCTCTGTTCCACTGTGAACAGAATTGGTACTCGCACAAGCTGTTTAGCTGGCCTTGCTTTTGAAACTGCTGACCTGACACCAGGAAAGGCAAGGGATCAGGCAGGAGATGCACAAGCTGCACAATGAAAAATTTAATAACTTGTAAATGGTGCAAGAAGGAAACAGGAGTTTGAAAGAGAAGAAAGAAGGCATATAACACTAGCTTTTAAACGAAAATTTTACCTTACTAAAATTACTATCTCTACCTCCAGATTGATCAGAAAATGCATTTACTGTTTTCAGAATTCTGAGTTTGATCCTAAAATCATAGAACTAAATTTAATATAGAAATATTTATTTATCACAACAGTAGAATAATGCATAAACCCCCCTATAATTATTGTTCAAGAGGTGTTTAAAATGTCCATTAGTATTACCATTTCAGAAAATCAGGCCACTTCCTTGAATAACTAAACATGGTTTGACGGTGCCTACTGTCAGGCAACCAGGTACAAAAAGATATACTCTTTTTTCATCATTCTTATGATAAAAAGAGATATGAAAAAACTGAAAGCTGAAAAGCCACAGAGTGAAAAAAAATATTCTGCAGAGAAACAATTTTAAAAATTACAAACACAATTTATAAAAGAAGTAAGTGGAATACTGCTGCATTACTATATCTGCAATAGATATTTAAATTGTATAGCTATCATATTCAAACAAATCTGTAGACAAAGACCGAACTCTGCTCACTTAATTTTCTATATTTTTATTTTTCACATGGTTTCTCTACATCTAAAAATTAATTTCTCTGTCCTTGTACATTTTAGACATGACAGTGCCTTTATACTTGCTTTTTCTTCCTTTAAGAGTGATAAGCAATTTACATGTAGTGGCAACTTACATGTGACAGATGATGTCATCCAAGAATAGTTTATTGCAAAGAATAATATAAGTGGTTACAGTAGGGAATAGAATGCAATAGTATAAAAAATGCTAGAATATGTATTTATTGTTAATTCTATTTTATTTATCCTTTCAAAGTTTCAAAAATAACTTCAAAATTCTTCTAAGCATCTAATAATTTCTGTGCAGTTGGTGGTGTTTCTTTCTTCATTTTATTTTTTGTTTTCCTTGCAATTATCACAAAAAAAATTTTGTACACTGATTTGTCCATATTTACATTATATTCATGGGCTAAAACTATGCAAAAGAACTGCACAATTATAGCTGGCAAATATTTTAGAATGCATATGCTAATGAAATTCAAATTAATAAACAGAGTACTTGTCTAGGACACTTATCCAGAATACAACTTAAAAAAAAAAAAAAATTTCAATAAAAGAATTAATTCATTAGTGAGCACTATAAAATTAAAGTATGTAATATTAGTAATGATGTATAAATAATTACTATCTTTAAAATTCAGTCATGTGGTGGAAAATACACATGAATTTAATATCACTTTGATGAGACCAGTATAAATTGCAGGTAAAATACACAGAAAAAAGACAAAAAACATACTCTTCATGTTCCCAAGTGATTCAAAAGGTAATTTATTGATCAACAGTATTAATTACTCTGAGAATCTACTTCTGTGGTAGGTAGTATGCTTTACATATACAAAATACATTTACAGTCTTTCTAGTCACTGTTTTATTCTCTGATAGAAGATAACATTCTGTCTCTACCATTTAAGGATCTCATTCTTTTTTTATTGAAGTGATAGGAGTCTTCAGACTGAGGGCATTGTATTCTCTAACAGTTCAACCTTTATGTAAAGACAGGTTTAGTTTGGGAGTCAGTTGAGTTCTGTACATAACATACATATAATCTGTACATATAGTAGACCTGATAGTATACCCACTGTAAACATTGAAAAGACTGTTACTAATGTCAATGGCTTTTGATCTAGCAATTTAAGTATGTTGTATCAGAACTCAAACTAAATTCAGATGTTCCGAATTCTGATATTTCTTATACCTGAAAAATTCCTTGCATACACCCCCATGCACTGCATAGGGGCACAGGCTCATGTTACACTTTTGCCTCTGTTGTATACCTGCAATAAAGTTTATGCATGGTCTTGAGAAGATTGGCAGTGAAACTTAGCATTTGTTACTTTGTCAATAGATGGAGGCACATCCCTCACTGTCAACAGCAAAAGCCCACTTTCACATATGTAGCATGTCTGTCTAACTACACAGAATAAATGATGAGAATGAAATCTATCAGAAAATACTTCTACCTGAAGTCACAGAAAGTCCTACTTGTATGGCCACCTAGCATATTGAAAAGAAGATATTGTACATAGCAAAGTCACATGATGAAACATAATTTGAGCTAAACTATGAATCATTTTTTTTATTCTTGGAAGTGCCAGGTTGGACTTCAAACTCTTAAACTTCAAAATGGTGCACAAATGTTTCGTTTCCTGATGTTAAAGGAAATATTTAACAAAACCTTCACAAATGTCTTTGAAAAACCAGTGTTCATTATGTCAACACTTAAAATATTTCTTAGTGATACATCCAAGCATCCTTCCATTATTTTAATGACATTTATTTGTGTATTGTGGTAATGCCTTGGGAAAAAAAAAAATTAAAAAGGGAAAAAAAAGGAAAAACTCCAGCAATGATAAAAAAATATTTGACATCACAATAGAACCTTGGAAGTTAGAAAGAAAATGTTATTTAAGAATATGGAATTTCTCTAGAAATAGGACATAGTCAATCTTTATCATTAGATTTGTTTTGCAGTCCTTTGAAATTGACAAAGGTGTTCTCTAGTCCTGGCTCTACACTAGGTTGACCATTGTAATGGGTGAAATTATTGTAGTGGAAGCCAATTAGGAGTAAAATAATTTCTGCTGTGTTAAATTGCAATGAAAATTGGACACGTGCTTCTTTTCTCCTACTACAGAAGTTCTTTTGAGATTTGTTAAGATCTTCTCTCTTCCAAGTTTAAGTGCAAGACTTATAGTTGTGCACAGGAGCAGAAAGACAGGTGTCCTCAGCAGACCACTTTGTTCTCAAACTCGTAACAATATGAGAGCCTTGGGCACTTTACGGCTTCTCTCTACTCTTTGTTCTTATTTTAACCACAAAAATAAGAGCATGAATGTACTTCTATATAGATCTCACTAAGCTTATCGTGTCCTTACAATATATTTTAACAAGACTGCGAATCTATTAATGCTGAACACATAAAACCTATTTTTTTTATATTAACAGAAACAATGTATGTATTTTTTGGATAAATCCCACTTTTTTTTTTTTTTTCTCACCAGTGAATTTTCATCACATCATCCTAAAATCTTCAGTGTGACTGGGATTAAAGACATATTTTGTTTTAGTATTTGTTTCCTATGAATAATGCAGTCACCCAAAATCAAGTATTTAAAATGTCTTCATTCTTTGCATATATTAATTTTTATTTTCAGCATCAAATAATACCTGTATGTGTCTAAAAAGGTCCCTAAATTCATTATTTTTATGGATAACTCCCTATTTCCAATACTAAATAAAGTATATTGTATTTGTTTCTTTAATTATAACTCAAATTCAGACAAGTTTATATTAAAAATACTCTTATTTCCATAGGAAGAAGGGATTCTAGACAAGGACATCTAATGGAGGATCCTTTGTCTTTCTGTAAGCAACTGAAAACCCACAAATATGTATCCTCATGTCACGAATCCAGGTAAAGAAAATTATTAAATAGATTTGCCTTAAATATCTTGAGTTGGGTCTCTCATGATGGGATTCACCTTTCAAATTACACAAATTTAGGTGTTATTATGTAGATGACTACAGATTGAATAGGTACCTGATATTTCCCAATCTACAGATATCTAGGTATGCAACAGCCACCCACTAGTAAATATCCAATAACACTCAAAATTCTTTGGCATGCTGGAGACGCCTGCAGAGCTGTTTCAGACCTACCTAGGTGTGAGCTACTGGATGCTTCTGTCTCTTAAACAAGAAGGAGAGGCTGCTTTTTTCCTTATCATAGGGGCAGTCATGCTTTGAGTAGAACATATTTTTCCTTTCTCTTGGACAAACACATTATGCAATTCAGGACAAAATATGTCTGTTTTAATATCTCTATGATGATTAGGGCTAGAAACTAAAACAAACTCGTAGGAGCTAAGATAAAAAAGACAATAAAGTTAAGACAATACAAGGAACAGAGGATGCTAAAGGTGAAATTAGAAAAGAAGTGGAGCAGTGAGACTTACATAATTACTTTAAATTGATTGATCAACATTTTCACAGAAAATAATCCTTTTGGTGTAGATTTCCAATTAAAAAATAAATTACTGGTCAATTATTTACATATCTGAAATATCAAGTTTTTAAAACCTCCATCATTTCTGAACCCTAGAAAATTGCTATTTTTTTTAAATGCTTTCCTTAAAATTTTACTTTTCTTAGGAACAAAGAATTCATTCTCTTGAAGGTACTATTTCATCTTGTTTTTTCCATTTTTTCAGAACTTCACAGTTTTACATGCATGTACTTACCAAAATTAAGTTCTGATAGTCTATTAGCTCCATTGTATAAGTAAAAATCAATACACTAAGACGCAATGAAAACCTTCCTTTAGAGAATGACTGAAGAGAAGCAGAGAAGTTGTAAAAAAATTAAATGCCATACAAATAAAACCTAATATTTGACAAATTGTGGTTTTACTCCTCACTGGCCCTATCTTGCCTTTTACTGCATATATATTTCTCCACCTTAGTAAATAGAATACCTCAGGTTTGCAGAAAAACGCCTGTGAAATTTCACAGTCCTTTCCTTCTAAATGTCACATATAACCATCACTCAAATTGAATCGAAGATGATATATTTTTCTATTTTAGAAATTATATTTATAGATAAGTACATTAAAAGTTGGAAACAACAGCGTATTATCACTGTCCTGGAAAATGCATCAGCTGCTGAAAGCTAGAAATTTCATTTTGATAGTATATCTAAAATATGTATTAAAAATTTATGGGAGAATATGAAACCAAGTCCTGGCAAAAATATCAACTAAGCATATAAAGGATTCATAAAATTATGAAATCATTCTGAAAGTGAGTATGGTACAGGTGAAAAGGGAACCTGATGTTTTTCAGTAGAGGAAACTATTATTTTTAATAGGGAAAAAATCCTTAGTTGATCTACTTCAATTTTTGGTACTTGGTTGTATGGAAAAAAATGTACAAGCTTGCTGGAGAAATATTGACTTATCAGCAGCTACCAATATTTATTCAAAATATTTCAAGTTTATCCTGTGAACAAAATAGGCAAATTACATTTACCAATGGTGTCGGCAGCAGAAGAGGAAATGATGGCATCTGGAAGATTTTAAGCTACAGATGACATATTTACAACAAGCATGTAAATTCTTCCTATCAGTTGCATCAAATTAAACCTCTTCATGCTCAAGTAACAGATAGTAGTTGCATAGTATTAGAAAAAGTTTCAATTTAAGTGAAAAATATTCAATCTTTGAAAAAAGTTTCTCATATTCTACTTGTGATAGTCTTTAACTAAAGAAACAAACAGATTTTTTTCAATTACTTACTAAAGAATTCAAATGTAGATATAAACAAAAACATGTGAAAAATATATACTGTGCCGTATTTTTCAGAGAGAAAGAGATTTGATTGCTACAAGAACATATCTGCATTGCTTTTCCTAGCTATTGGCATGTTTGTAGAAATACCATCTGTAGTCAGCTGTAAATTTTCCGAGCTTTGCCAGCCTGGAAAGAGGAACCATGGTTGCAACCATGGAACCTTTGAAAGAGGAATGTCTAGTAGTTGTCAGAGCCAGCGTCTGCTCATTTCTTCTCGTAATCACAACCACACATGTCTATTTACCATTCCTAAAACAATAATTTATTCAATATTTTGGCCAATATTATTATCTGCTTAACTTCAATTCGGCTAACTACCTATTAAAAATGCAGTATTCCAATGCATATAAATAGAGGAAACTTATAAAAAAATAAGCCAACTCAAGAAATAAATATTAGCCCAATACCTGCTACTCATTTCAGTAAGCTTTCAGTTTTATGATTGTGAAGAAATTGCCAGAAGGACATGGCTACTTTTGACCTACTTTTCAACTTAAGTAGTCATTAAATGCCAAGAAAACACACTTGCTTTTCTTGACAGACTTTCCTGCCAAAAAGAAAATTATTGCCTGTATCAATCAAGAGTTCATGGCTGTGCGTTTCTTCTTATTTCCTCAGCTGTAAAAGCACTCAAATAAAGCACTTGCCTTTAAAATAAGCCCTCATAGATATAAGTTTTTAGCTGTGCTGAGGGATTAAAAGCCATGTTCTCCCTGCATGACATTTATTGCAAGATCAAGGTATTAACTTGTAGATAAGTGTAGGAGAATGCACATGAGCATTCTGAGTCCCTGTGCTAAAAACTCCTGAAATGCTTTTCCACTGAGAATGTGAAACATATTTTATTTTTTATTAAGATAATAAAAAGGATTAGTCACATTACAGATTAATTGCCAGCACAATTTATAATCCGTATTATAAAATGAAGCTCTCTGGTTAGCTGAATTCAGAAATTCAGCTGAAAATGTAATCTTCCCATATGTTTGCAGGTCTGTAAAATAAAAATTAATGCTTTTCTGTGTTAAAAATTTTGCTTGCCATTGAGACATATGCCATGGTTTAGCTGGGAGAAATTATTTCTGGGACAGACTATTTGAATTAAAGTGAAAAATCTGGCTGACTATTTGAGACAATAAAACTATCATTATTTCGTGAATATTTTGAAAAATACATCAAATGTTACATATCCATGTTATCCAGCCTCTAGCATTATCACATTTTTAAATTATTTTAATGTATTTTACTTTTTCACTTGTGCAACTACAAAATACTATAAAAGTGTCCAATAAAGGTTAAAAATTAAAATACATTATTTGCTCTAACTTCTTTCCTGTCGTGGTTTGACACGGAAAAAGAATTTTTCCGGAAGGAAGAAGTCAATTTGGACATTGACCAATTAAAGGTGGACACGCCTCTGAGAACACAGAGGGGTTAAAAGCAGAATTCCCAGGAGAACTCGCTCTCTTGGGTTCCGGTCAGCGGTCAGTGCAGGACTCTCCCCTGCCCGGCCACGAGCTGGGTGGGGGAGGGGAGAAGCCATGTGGCCTTCGGAGGTAGGCCCAAGGGTGGAGGGACCGGAACGGAACCCGGGTTGGCCCCCTGCAGATGGAAGGGTGGACAAAATCTGGGATGTCTCCATTTCCTCCAGAGTCTCTCTCTCTCCCAAGAGAGAAAAAAGAGACAGCGGTGGTTTTGCCAGCAGTTCACCGCGGGGAAGGAGAAGAGCGGGGGGGGGGCCGCAAGGTGTCCAGCCGCCTGTGGGAGCTGGAGCCTGGGCAGCGAGCTATCTCTGGGAGTTGGGACTTTTAACCCTTCCTGAGAAATGAAAGCTTTGTGAAATTTTTCTCCTCCTTGGTTTGAAAAAGGGAGAAAGAGAGACAGCCTGGGACCTGGGATGTTGGAAGGAGAAATTCTAGGTGGGAGGAGATGATGGAGTGGCTGTTTGGCTGGACTTTTTCTTGGTAGCCACAGATTGAACTGATCTTCTCTTCCAAGAGAGACTGTATTTTAGGAGGATGCTGGTGAGCCAAGAGACCTGCTTCAGCTGGGAAAAGACAGAAGTGGAGCGAACAGTGAAAAGTTAAGGAGGTTTGTGGTGGTGCTCCTTGTCTTCAGAGAAGAAGAAGAGAAGAAGAGCTCTGTTCGTGGATCCTCGGCTCCAGGGGAAAATGGGGGGGACTGTTGGTCCTAAAAATGAAAAACTGAACTGTTGTTTTTTCCCCTCTTGGCAGGGCATCCTTGAAAAGAAAAAAATCCTAAAAGCAGTCTGTCCATCCATGCATTGGTGGTGAAAGCACTGTGCATGGGAAAGAGAGGGTCACCACTGGCAAACTTTTTTCTCCGGGCGGTGCCATGTGGTGACATGGAAGCACAGGGTGTGGCAGCTGTGTTTCTTGGGGGGTCTGTGGCACAAGAGAGACTCCTCTCTCCCTGCAGATGGACTGGGTGTTGATTATCTGGAAGGTGGAAACCTGATTGGAGTCCAGATTGTGTCTCACTGTGGTTTGTTGGAGTTGGGTGGTGGGAGGAAGAATGCTTTAGAAGGTTTTCATTTTGAATTGTATGTGTTTCTTTCTTCTTCCCCCCCCCCCCTTTTATAGTAGCATAGTGGTAGTAGTTTAATAAAGTTTTTTTCTTGTTATTAAGCTTAGGCCTGCTTTGCTCTGTTCTCAATCACATTTCACAGCATTCAGTTGGGAGATTGCATTTTCATGGGGGGCACTGGCATTGTGCCAGTGTCAAACCATGACACACATATTCAACACTAGATTGTCACCTTGGCAGAACTGGTTTCAATATATACAAGTATCAATGTGACTTTTATTTTTTGACGTAGCATCATTCTACCCCTTCAATGTTCAAGAATACCAACATCCCTTTCAAGAACTTCTATGGCATTCTAGAACACACCAGCACATTGCATTGAGTGAACGGCAAAAAGAGCATAGACTAGCCCTCTGCAAATAGTGGTGTCCAACCGGAAAGGATAGGTAGATGGAGAGACAGCCACCATTTCTGTAAATTTTCGGTCTTCTGGAATAAGTTCATGCTGTGGAAGATTTGCTCCATCTAAACTGACAGTGAATTGCTAAGAACCATTCACTTCCATCTGTATGAATACATCCTGGTTTCTTGTGCCACAAATCTTGATGATTTTGTAAAAGCTCTTCCAAAACTCTATTACCTTGTTTTCATTCTCAGACTCAAACATATAATCAAGAAAGAATGCACTAGATTAAGCATATTTTTTTCTTTGCAAAAACTAAACAATCAATTTCAATGATTTTTTAATTTTTTTTCTTATGCTGTAAAAAATATACTAATTTTCTGTGCAAGCATCTAGCTGTCTTGTCTTCTGATGGCTGGTTTTTGTGATTTAATAAGGCATGTTAAAAGCAGCATTCTTACCTAAATTTTTCCTTTTTTTTATTTCTAGTATTTTATAATAATCACTAATTTATTATTGTTATTGATTAATTGATAAACTAATTATTATTAAAATATTAGGTCCTGAGTAGGGATCTCAGAGCATAGGGTTTTGTATTGAAAGGAGCTTTAAAGATCACTGCTTCAATGATCAGGGTTGTTTTTCATGAGGTTCGCATGGGCCTGTTCCTCAAGGTTTCTGTGGATGACATCCCTTCCTTCAGGCCTATGAACTGCACCAGTCAACTTGGTGTTATCTGCAAATTTGCTGAGGGTTCATTCAATCCCACTGTCCATATTATTCCTAAAGACAATAAATTGTATTGGCCCCAGTATGGACCCTTGAAGGACACTGCTGTGTTTTGCTTTCGGACATTGAGCCATTGACTGTAACTCTTTGGACATGGCCATTCAGCCAATGCCTTATCCATCAAACAGTCCATCTGTCAAGCCCATGCCTCTGCATTTAGTAATAAGAGGATGGTACCAAAGGCTTTACAGAAGTCCAGGCAGAATGACAACAGTAGCACTTTCCCTGTCCACTGATGTAGTCATTCCACCATAGAAGGCTAATTGCTTGGTCAAGCACAATTTTTCCTTTCTCTAATCGTATCTGTGTTTTCCATGTGTTTCTATATACTTTCCAGGAGGTTGTGCTTCATGGTTTTAGCAGGCACAGAAATGAGATAAACTGATCAGGTCCTCTTTGGTGCACTTTTTAAAAATGAGAGCAATGTGGCTTGGCAACTGCATCAGTCAGTTCCCTTATCATCCACCTGAGGGATGCACTTTAACAGCTCCCACAAACCTGTGTATATTTATATTCCTCAGGTGGTCTCAAGCTGGACCTTCTTCTACCATGGGAATTATCACTTTCTCCCAGTCCTGATCTTGCTGTTCAGGGACTTGAGACTGGCTTTTTTAACAAACTGATAATAGTGTCAGTGTCCTTCTCATTCTAGTGCATTTACATAGCTGTCAGTGACATTTTAGGTGTCCTAGGATGTGATCTCTGGTCTCCATCTTTCCTCAAGAATGATGTAAAGTTGCCTTCAGACCTGTTCACATCTGCCATCACTATGTACATTTCTCAGTTATCCTAAAATATCTTGAATGATGTTAAGCACATACATTAGGGTTCTAATTTAGTTGTTTTATTTCATAATTCTGGCATGAAAAAAAAAAATTTAGCTGTATATAGTTATTCAGTTCCCAAAATAGGAAGCAGCAACTTAGATTCTAAAGAACACACCCTTCTCTCCAATAGCCAGAATATTCATAACTACCAGCTCTAATTCAAAACATATGTTCTAGATATTATTTTAATATAATTCAACACTGGGAATTAACTAAAAGCAGAATCTATTGGTTAAAGATTTGTCCATCATTACTGCATTTCTTGCACTGAATACATGGAATTTTTCAATATGCAATGAATACCAGAATATGGTATTTACATAGCCAAGCAACCAGAGTCTTAACTTTGATTAGGCCTCATTTATACTGATTTTTCCATTAACATAAAATGCCATAAATAGGCATAAGTCAATTCTACTATTAGTGAGTCTCACACTCCTTGATTTGAATCCAAATTTACAGAACTATACATCAAAGTAAAATCAGATTACCATATTTTATGTGTGGGTGGATGTGTGATACACTAAACGCATGCCAAACAACATTCTTATGTAAAGATCAGTAGGAAGAAAGTGATCGGAAGAATTTAAATCCTGCTTCAAGTGTCTGGCAATTTAAAAAGTATTAATTTTAATTTTTTTTAACTTGAATACAAAGCCATTTGTTTGCCTTTTTCCATTCTACTACCAATCTTATTGCTGCTTTGAGTTGAAACTCTGTATTTATTTGAGATGATTTTCTATTATATAGATGTGCTGAAGTGACAGTGCTTTTGAATTAGTCTTGCCTATGCATGTGGTCTGAAAATTCAGACTCCGCTCAAACTTGGAGTACAAAATAAAAATTTCCATTTTGTAAAGCAGCTCCTGGGTTGGGCATTAATACATTATTATCCTGTTGACTTTGATAGTTCAATGCCTGTTGAAAATGTTCCTCCATATTTTTGAAGACTCATCTATAAGTTTCAATTGGTATTCTACATGACTATTTCAAAATACTGGGAAACAGGTAGAAATGTAACATCTGGTTTAAACTGGATCTACCCAGTTTACAAATAGCTTGTTACACAAATTATATGATAATAAGGTTTAAAATATGTAAAGTTTTAAGCTTGAAACTTTACTCTAATGGAGAAATAAGAGAAAAATTAATAAATTGAAACTGTTCTACCATTCTATAGGGCAATTCAGTGAAAATTCTAGTAACACAATGAATCTGATGAGATAGTGTCATGATAATAGTCAGGTACAATATCTGGTTTGAAGTATTATATTAACATGAAAAATAATTAAAACTTGCTTACAGAACTATGTTCATATGCATAATTTACCAGGAATCAGATTCATTTAGGAATAAAAACTTGAGATGTTTTTGTTTGCCGCACACAGGCTGCCTAATGTAGTGAAAAATCCAGCATGAAATTCCTCATTCTGCTTCACCCTTCTCAGACATTTCTTCAAACAAAAATTACATTTCAATGCAGACTTTTGGGGAGTTGATTTTTTTCCAAATCATTATCTATAAATTATGTATAGTGGTTATGTTGTACAGCCTTATTCATGAGAGACAGAAGGCAAATGACTGCCTTTATTTAAAACAATCACTAGTATTTCTAAAGCTAAATAACTTAAACAAATTCATTTTCATTTTAACTCTGATTCTTGCAATCTTTTAAATCTGACAGAAGATAACAGGGCATATCGTTAATTACTATAAATCTGAAGATATTTCTAGTGACTTTGACTTAAAAATGTTTTTTACAATTTGTTTCTGAATCATGCAAAGGAACTTTCTTATCAGATTTGACTCCTCTAAACAATTTGTGCTCAAGTCTACTGAGATCTCTACTAATCCTTCTTATAACTTCAATATTAGTATCAGAAGGAATTTTCAACATTTTCTTCAGCACGGAATTTTGGGTAATAACATGCAATTTTGTGCAATAAATACTATAAGGATGCAATAAAGAAGCAAAAGAATTCTCTCATTATCAGCCATTGGCATGATTTCTTTAGAATTAACATGACATTTCTGCATATAAGAGCTCTTCCTAAGACAGGAAACAATTTCCAGGTATTTTCATGAATTAATTTGTTCTTTTAATAACTCAGAGATATTAAGAGCTAAAACTTCTATATTATTCCTCCTTCCCACCCTGACTCCTCCTCCACCAAGATTAATCCAGAGTAAGGATGGCTGTGCTCAATAGGGCCATTTCTTGATTGGGACAGACTTTTGAAGTGAGGAAAGGTTCCCTGGGGGTCTGAGAGCTCAGATGGTTATGAGGCTTGTATTTTCCAGAATTCCATGCTGCTGAGGCAAGGGGTAAGACGGTGATTTCAGACACCTGAATCTTCCTCTCTCCATTCAGGTAGGTCACAGACACACTGTTATTTTACAGCAAAGGAATAGATGGTCCAAGCCAAAGACTCAAAGTGTGGAATTAATTGGAGGAAATGCAGCTGTTTATGGTTGTAGTCATATATTTAGACTAGGTGCCCTAGATTCCTGTTAGAGTGAATGGAAAGAAATAAAACTTTAAAAACATGCTTTATCTCTCTCTAAATATGGATAAGGCTTATTTAGAGATTCAGACTTACAAACATAGGTGTCCAAATGTGAACTAAGGATTGAAGTTCCACATACAGTCAATGAAAAAGTTAATCTTGGCCAAAGCATAAACAGCAGGTTTGAAATGTCTTAGAATATCTCAGACATCCAGGACCTCTAAAAGAACTGTAACCTTCTCAAGTAGCAGCTAGAGGTCATGTTGAATACTCCAGGAAACCCAACAATAATACTACATTTAAAAGTTGAGTTTTGTGTTAAGTTCTGTTCAAAATTATCTGAGACACTCTCTATTTTTTATTCTCTATTTTATCCTCTATTATCTATTCTCTATTTTCTCTATTCTCTACAATGGCTGTTCCTTTGATGACTGTAGTAAGAGTTTAGACACAACAGTTTACACCCATATGACATTATTTAGTTAGCTAAATTTGTTGTCTATGTTTACAGCTGAAATGTTCTTCACATCCCAAAATGTCACATAAACAGGAATAGTTACATATTCTCCCCACTGACTATACAGAAAGACAAAGGTGGCTTGCTCAGCATGAGAACTCTATGCTGGAGCTGTGAGAATTTCATCAGGAGTACATTGAAATTCATCTTCACAACTGAATGAAGAAAAAATCTTAATAGGCATATCTATTTATCTGATTAATATAACCCATGTTTTCAGAAAGTTAGAACTTTTGTCAGAACCCATTCGTCATAGTGAGGGAAGGGAGAGGAAAAAAAGAGTTAGTATCTGGTTTCTTGACCTCTGTCTTAATACTGTCAGTTTGACTTGTCAATTAGTGTCAATTGTGGTTATATTGATCTGTGTATTTTGTGGATTCTAACTAGAACTAGACTCATTCTACAAACTCAGATACTAGAGCAAAGTCCGTGGCTTCTAACTTTCAGTCACAACTGATGTAATTAATAGGGCTACTTTTCTAAGAAGGAATTGGATTTAATTACTTTCATCTTTCTCCTGTATTCACTGATCTTTTTTGGACAGATATTAGTAAAACAAAAAAAAAAATTACATGTTTATTTGAGACAATATTGCATATATTTTTATTTTATTTCATAATTAATTTACCATTGAAAGTAAATTATGAAAGTATATTGAAAGTAAATTGGCTGATATTCTTTGGTTTATTCTTATCTATTTCTGTGATACTAAATTGAGGATGTCCTCCTGAAACCAATAGAGAAACACTCTTGGAAAACAGGAAAATAAAAAAAGCCTCATTTTTATTGTTGCCATTGTTATTATTAGGATATTATCCTCCTTTTTGATTTGAAGTAATGTAAGATTGAATATTAAAATTATGTAAAAATTTAAAAGTAAATATATAGATCAGTCTGTGTCCCAATACAGCAGCAAACATTTTTAAAAATAATCAATTTTGTGTATTGTCTAAAATATTCTGGTTTTCTTTTAATAAAATGTGATTTGACCATGGAAAAAGATATTTGAAGGATACTCTTTGGCTGCCTTCTTTTATATGTGTGTTCTTATTTTTAATTGAAACTTCCATCCTCAGAATGTTATTCACAAGTGTGAGATTCATCACACTTATCTCCAGCAATATAAAAGTCAAATAGCTTAGCTGTGATTTAACTCACCCAACCTTAGAAGTGGCAATTCAGTTACAGACTGCGAAGTGTAAATTCATGTGCTCACAATACAGCTGTTACGTTTCAGCTAGGGAACACTTAAAAGGCTTTAACATAATCATCTGTAACACTTAAGGTATGCTAAAGTATCTTGCCTGAATTCCAGCTGCCAGTTCAGAATAGAAGATGTATTAACCATGGACAGATATCTCAGGTATCCCAGGATGCCCTGAATTCCACCTAAGCATGCATATCTCAAATTATTTGAAAACTCTTTTTAGAATCCAGTCCCAAACATCTGCCTTCAGTTCAAGGAGATAGGATTGTATACGAATGCTGTCAGTCATAACTGCAACAATTTAAATTAAGGCAATAAACCATTCCAGTAGTTTAACACGGAATATTAGTACACATGGCAAAAAAAAAAAAAAAAAAAAAAGTTTTAAAATTTATTTCATTAAATAAAATTTCTCATTGTTGTATTCTAGTCTACTTGTCCAATGTCAGAATGTCAGTCAGAGGTAAAGGCAGGGAGATTGAAGTCTGTTTTAGAAATATAATAGGATTTCTGAGAAAGAATTGCATCATAAACTAAAGAAAGCAGAAAGGAAAATAGCAACAAAAACAACAAAAGCAACAACAAAACCTACAATTTTTAAGCCCATCTATGAATCTCTGGCCCAAATGCTGAGACCACAGGAGATACACTGTAGATATTCACACTTCTAAATGAGCAAGAAACAGAATTAAATCATAGGCTCAATCTCCAAGCACAAATTGGCTCATGTTCACATTGCCAAGGGCTTGTCCCTTCTTTAGCAGTTTTGTCTTGGACTGAGCTAGTTGAGAGCAACAGAAAAGAGCTAAATTATGATAGAACAGTTATTCAGTAGGAATTCTCCATTATGGATTATGTGTTATGGATTATAGCTAGGGTGTTTGAGTTTATTCACATTCTGATTTAGTTAGCTTAGCATAATAAAGGACCCTGTTCCAGTCAGTTATGGGGCACTCAGTCTGACTCAAAAGGACATATGTCACACACTTATGTTTTCCAAGTTTTTTCTTCATTCACTAATGTTTGAAAATTTGATCCTGCACTGATTCCTCATGATACAGACAGAAGAGGGATTCAAAACTTTCTTTTTTGTCCCCACAAGAGCAATTCTTCCTATTTTAATAAACAATGAAATTTTGAAAAACAGTATTATTCCACTGAAAACCACAGAAACTTACAGTGAATGGGATTTTGTCTACAAAAATATATGTACTAATGAAAAACATATTTTGATAATTTCTATTTACTTTCCTTATCATATGAGATACAATTATGGCTCCATTAATACTAGTAGTATCAACCCTTCCTAAAATTAGCATTCTTTACTAAATGTCTTTACCCTAAGATTTTTGCTTTGTATTGAGAAATGTATTGCTTTCATAAAACCATCTTTAGAAATAATATCCATGTAAATCAACTGTATCATATTATCTGACCAGAACTCTGCTGATGATGTAACACTTCTAATCAGAACTGATCCTTTAAAATACATGGCGTATTTCTAAACCTCATCAATAAATTTTTTCCTCAATTTTATTCCATTCCTAATTCATCAGGAGGCATAATCTACATGCTCAGGTACTGTAAGAATGCAGCTAAGAATCCTGGAATTAATTATTCAGATTAAAATTTATGAATGCTATGAATTTGTTCAAAGGAAAAATGGGCTTAATTTAATATACATGTCTGCAGCTGAGCTAATAAGTTTGGGCAGACAGCAATTCATGGATCTGTAATAAGAACAACTTCCTTCTGAGCTTAATTTTTGTATTGCCTTATTACCAAATCAAGTCTAATCATTACTCTAAATATACATTCAGATTTATGTAGTTGCAGAGGAGTATTGTCTTACACTAAAATTTTAGTTAGTTAAGATCATCTTTCATTAATAGCAGCACAGCTATAGAAAGACCTTTCAAAAATGTGCATGCTTCTTTTTCCCATGGGTGCTCTTAGCCAATGTCAATAACATCTTTCACTCTGTTGCTCAGACCAGCAGTTCTTCTTTCTGAAAAATTTCAGCAAATCTGCAGGGCCTAACACTGTATTTAGTGCATTCTTTTTGTTCATTCTTATTCTGTCATGTTTTGTTTCTGAAAAAAAAAATATTTAAAAAAGGCAGACAGAAAACAAACAAACAAACACAACCCCAAACCAGAAAATCCTTAAATGTAGAAGGTATCTTCATTATTTTTACTACTATAAATATTATTATTCCCTGCCACACATAATGTCATTGGGCAGAACACAACTTCTGGTAGGTTTTTGCAACAGTGAAAATGTACCCCAAAATTTAGAAAATTGTTTCTATCTTAGCGGTTTAGATATATCCATTGACCTATCTTTCTGAGGAATGCTTCCAGCCTAGGTTAATAATTTCATACACACACTTTTTTTAAACAACCATGATCTTCACCACCCTATTTGTAAATATTTCCTTAACAAGCTAGCTAAGATAGAGACAAATCGACAATAAAGACACCTCAAAACACATCCTTTATAAACAAGCTACCTCATTTTGAATCATTTGCTTACCAAATTGCAACAGTGGGAAAAAAATCCCATAATGTTTTGTACTTTCATTCTCCCCTTTTGTGCTCAAGCTACGTTTTGGCACTTCTGTCTAAAAGTCCTTATTGCTTGCAAAGTGCCCAGCACACAATGCTGCAAACATTGTTGTGCCATATTTATCCTGGGCAATTGAGTAACAGTCTCTAGAGTCTAGCTACATATTCTACATCCTGCACTTAAAACTTTCTTACCATCTGTCTGCCCTTAAAGATCTCTCATGTGAATAAGTTGTTACTGTGTGTCCATAATTAAATTATATTTTTCCCTTTTCAAACCTCCTGTGACAATCCACTTAACAGTTTTGCATTCTATTTTCATAAACCAGACTTTCTTTTTTCTGAAACATTTTCCATTCCATTTGTAGCATTTTATCTTTCATCGTGATGAACTTAATGACTTCAATAATGACTATAACCCTGGAGTACTGTATTCTTCATTTGTATTTCAAGCTTGACCCAAGAACCTGTTATTTATTATTATGGTATCAGCAATAACTGTCAGGAATTTTTGTTGTTGTTGTTCTGCTTTTGCTTCCTGAGCCCTACATTACTTTAAGAGGTCACTATTATTGTTATTACGTACTATAGCAATTTCTAATGACACCAGCTGAAATAGGTGTCCCATCCAGAAGCAACAATTCCAACATTAAAGATCTAGCAATTTAGAAAGACAAAAATAAAATCCAAGTTAGAAAAACAGATGGAAAGAGTATGTGGTACGCATGTATCCTCTATCGCTAACCTCTAAAAAATAATGGCCATCCTCTAAAAATTGTCATGTCTCTACAAACCATCTCTAATATAATTTTTTTAAATGTAGTTTCAAGGGTTTGGTTTAATTCTCAAATGCATTTCATTATCTGCAGCACAGGTGTATGTAACTGAGCTACATTTAGCTCATTGAGCTACTCCTCTGCTTGTCCATAGACATGCCGTGCTTTTGTGGTGTCTTACCTTGCCTGGGCCCCAGCTGATCATATATTCTACAAGCCTTGAGTCTTTTCTATCAGCACATAAGACACCAAGATATTTCAAATTACCTATTTGAATCAAGATATTTCATATTGCTTATGTGTACCAGGTGAACCAACCCACCAGGCTCTCAGGGTAGATCAAGAATTCAATTCAGTTGTTCCCACATGGATGTCTACTCCTATTCCAAATGACGTAATGTATTCTAGAGTCCAAGTGCCACTTCAGAAATATTCTAGTGTGCCCTAGTTCATTTTTTTTGTGTCTATCAGTCTCGTTCACACACCCCAGATACTCCGGGACACCTCTTAGGGCACTACTGACTGTTAGGGCAACTCATTCGAGCCCATCAAACTAGATGAGAAAGATACCACCTAATTTCAGGTCAGATAGTAATCCAGAAAATGAGTCATATTCCTAATTTTTTCCACCTGACCATACTGCTTCTTAATTCCTTCATAAAATTCTATAATGTACCCACCCATCTTTACTATTTGGATCCTCATTTAAAGTAAAAAGAACCATTATCTTCACATGCTTTTGTTTTCCTCATCACATTTTAGTGCCTCCTGTTTGCTAAAATTCTGCTTGCAAGAGATGCAGTTGATTCAGAAATGAAATAAAGTAACATAAACCAAATATGACAATCCATAGTTAGACATTCTTTAAGACCAAAGCTTGAGGGGTCTGTCTGAATGCTCATGACATCATCAAAAGTCATTAATAGCTAAGACAATTTGTTCCAGTGGCTTAGCTGGAAAGTAGCTGAGGGGAATCAATCTGACTACCTAATAGAACAACAGAAGTACTGAGGAATTTTGATGGTACCAATGTTTCCATCGAGCCAGTTCTTTCTGCCAAGGGCACTTTGTGCCACTTATACCAATAAATAATGGTAGTTTAAGCAGTCATTCACCTAGGGTCAACTGAGTGTATTCTAAAATGGGCTTTTTCTGTCCATTCTTTGCTATGAATTTTTGATCTTAGTCTTCAAGTGTATGATGCAAGAGACTAATTCCTCCCAGGGGACTTTCTGGTGACTTTGTTCCTCTCTCACATGACTGAAGAATGTATATAGGAAGTATTCACAAAAATTGAACCGGGAACTTTAACTAGTAAATGGAATCATTCAGCATGACAATATGCCCATTGACCTGGCAATTAATCTTGGAGAAGTAATACTGAGGGATCTCATTTATATTTCTTAACCCAAAAAAGATAAAATTATAAAGGCTTCAGAAACTCACAGATATTATATTACAAGTTAACCCACTAAGGTACCATTGCTAAACATAATCATAATTAATGTAATTTAATATAATACATTTGCTATATTTTTTGTCCCCCTTTTCTCCATTGCTGATATTGCTCTGGGGCAAACTGAGTAAAATAAAATTATTTTTGTGATTCTGATTGGTCATGTCCATACTTCTAATACAGTTTAAACAGACTGATCATTTTAAACAGATAACAGAAATATTAGGACAACCATATCTTACCAACACAACCTATTAATTCTTCACCCTCTGACTTCATCACAAATACAAAAAAAAGCCCATTTGTGCAGTAGTCAAATGCCCTGAAGTCCTGCCCAATGCCTGGAAATTTCTGTTTCATAAATCACAAAAAATCCCACAAATTTGGACTGCACAAGCACATTGAATAATATTCAGCCACAGAAACTGTCCTACTGCCCATCTTATTTACATACATCTATGGGAACTTTGCTAAATACAGAAGGATCTACCTAATGAGATCCTTTAACATCTAAGAGTGCCCATTTTTGATTACGTGTGAATAAAAATGCAGCCAAATTCTCTCTGACTGATTCAAATAGTTAAAAAAATTACAGAGTTTGGTATAGAAGAAAACAATTGCCATGCAGATTCAAACTCCAAATATAAGAAAAAAAAAGATGTTAAAGATCTGATATCTTGTGCATCATTTTCCAAGAAAGCCCCTAGATGAAGCCTTGGAGAAGGTTACACAGAAAATAAAAAGAGCAATTTTATCTCAAATTTCTGCTGTCTTTTGCAACTTAATAAACCACTAACAAAAATACAATGGGAAAGAGTTTGTAACTTTACTTAGAGCTACTTGTCTTTGGGAAACTTTGATATTTATGAGATCTACAAATTGTTTCACAGATAATGGAAGGTAGAAATCATTCTGTTGGGAAAGATGAGCATTTATCAGCCTCTTTCTGCCCTAATTTTCACCCTAATGACTTTTGCCACCAATCTGAAAAAATGTGAAATGTTCACTTTGCGTAGTTCACGGCTTTTCTACCTGAGTGAAGATTAGCATACAAAGCCTTTTCTTCTACCTCAGATCACATCTGCCCCCACTCTTGCTAAAAAAAAAAACCAAAAACTAAACTAAATATAAAACCGCTAAGAAAAAAAAAGCTAACTCAAACCGAACAATAAACCCCCTCAAAGATTATATCACTTAGTTTGAAATTAGATCTGAAACTGTATTTTCAATGCAACTGCCCTGAAGTTAGAAAATAACCTGACACAGCCAATACATTTAGCAAAGCAACATAATAACACATTTCTATGCAGTTCCAACAGCACACTTTTTCTCAAAATGACACACATCACCCTGGGTATGAATTTAAAATTTTTTCAGGTTGCTCCTAGAATTCTGTTCACTCTTCTGCAATGGCATGCAGGAGGCTACCATGTAAAAAGGCATGGATTTCTATGGCAACAGTTTAAATTCTAGGCTATTCTTAGTTGAAGTGTTTGCAGAAACAAAAACAAAGCACAAACAACCCTTTTAAACTAGATAAATAATAAATCTCTTTTCTGCCTTTTCTGAAAGAACAGAAATGCCGTGATGATTAAGCAATAAGTAACTAAATGCTATATATACTATACTTGAAGTTACAAGAGTTATAAGTTAGCAGAAAAAAATGCCCATTTTGACACAGCATGGATATCTTATAGGCTTCTAATATTAGAAATAACATCATGACTGTCATTATCAGCAAATAAAACATTTACTTTTTGGTTATTGCTCTTAATGCAGTACAACTGAACATATTTAATACATTTGCATTTCACTCCTCTCCAAAACATCCTCAATAATCCTTTTTCTTTCTCTTATGTTTCTTTTTTTGTTGAGTATTTTGTTTGATAAAAATAATCATGGAAGTGCTAAGCATGTAAATAAGATAAGCATTGTAATGCAAGGCCTGGTAATTATTACATCATCTCAGAGAGTTGGGTGATCTATGTGTCTTAAGAGCAAGTCTCTGCAAGATGGAAGAATCCTGTGAATGTTAAAATCTGAAAATGACATAGAAAATTCCATTTTGTAATTTTTCCACAACCTAGAAGCAGGGTGATAAATACATGTCTTCAACATTTCAATTGAATTGACATTTCTATATAGGTTTGCCAATGAACTAGAACTTTTAGGAAGCTAAATGAGCACATTTCCAACTTTATGTTACTTTTCAATGATGACAAATTAAAATTAAATATTTAGCATTATATTCTCTGAAATACATGCATGTCTGATCTCAGCCAGTGATTTGACATTTTAATTTATTGTGCATTTTATCTAAACTTCCATTTCGGTGTTTCTAATGTAATTATTATTATTATTTTTAGCATGGTCTATGTTCTCAATTTTGCCACTACACTATCAAAGAGAAGGCAGCTAGACTTAGGTTGTCTTCTAAAAGTGCACCAGCTCATACCTAAACAGGTTATTTTGGACTCTTTCTAAGCTGAATATGATGGCCTTCCAAGGACAGAATTACTGGCTCACATGTAAGTGCATTTATTTTTTCTTCTCAAACTATTCAACAGTGGATTTCACAATGGCAAAGTAGTGCCTCTACTGTCATCACTTTGTCCTACACAGAGCATCCTGGCAGAACAATCTGTCTAAGGAAGCAGCAAGGTGGAATAAAGAAGGGACCTTGAAATAAGAATGGTTTGTATAGTTAAGCAGGCCATGCCATTTTCGCAGCTCCACAACCAAATTTCAAGGTATTTTCTAGGAGACTACAGATTTTTCCACAGTGATAAAGGATTCTGGAGGAATGGTGTATTTCTTGTGTTTAATTCTTCGTGAATACCTGTAATCAGGCTTCTTCTTCACTTTCAAGAGCATACCTATTGCAATGTGTATGTTTGTCTGTTTCCTTCTCACAGATCCCAAAGGTGGGCTTCTTCTATAAAGCAAACCAAATCAGTATTTGAAATTTACTAAGTCCCTTACAGTGTTTTACTCTTTAAAAGGATTCTTTGCCTGGAGAAAGCCAGGAGCAACGTGACTGAAATTCTCCATATCTCCACTGGGACTTGAGCTGTGAGTTACAAGTGATTTGCAGAGACTTTTGCCTTCACAGGTTTGACTGAGTTTAGGGGCACTTTCCCGTACAGGAAGGGGATCAAAGGCGAGCTGCCTGAAGTCCAACTGCAGCACTGCGCCGTGTTTTTTTCAGTTTTCAGTATCAAAGGGTAGAGGTACCCAGTGCAGGAACGGGAAAATCTCTGCGGGCTAATTCGCTTTTCCCACTGGCGGCAGCTGCTGAAGCCCGGTCCCCCGCAGCTGCCCCACCGGGCAAGCTGCTCCCGGGCGGGAATTCTGGCCGCGGAAATTCGGCTCCAGCTTAATGAGACCAAGCTGGGCAGAGGCACTTAAAGCAAATTCCCACTAACATCCCTAATATATCTGCAATGTGTGCAGCAGAGGCGGTGACAGCAGCGGCAGCAGCATGAGATTCACAGTATTAATAAAGGGATTCACTGCCTCGTAAAAAAAAAAAAAAAAAAAAATGGGAGGGGAGGGAGAGGGGAGGAGGGAGGAGGCAGGCAGGAAACTTCTGTGTGTTATTTACATTGGGAAAGGGGGGAAGGAAGGGTGTTTGTGCCTCTGCCTGTGAATGAATGAGAAAAAGGAAGGGAAGGAAAGGAAAGAGAGGGTGGGAGGGAGGGACACACACACACAGAGCACTGAAAGGAGGCTCTGTCCCCTAAACCCAAATAACCCATTTGCAAGAATTGGATGCTGGAAAAATGGTAAGGACCCGGAGTTGAAAACATTTTCACTTTAATACTGAAAAAATATGCCATTATAAAATCCTCGAATAGAATTAGTAAGTTTCACTTGCTTCCTCAGTTCTGTTTTCCTCAAGTTATAGTAAGATTTACAACAGCACAGAATTTTCTACCATTAAACTTTGCAGCCTAAGCGCTAGAGTGACATTAATTGGTCATGCTTAACTGCCTTGGATTTTTTTTTTTTTTTGTATGTTTACACTGTTACCATAATAGAAATCAAGGGTACTAATTTTTACATTCAGATGGAAAGGCAATATTGATTATGTATATTGAAAAAGAAGAGAGAGAAAACAAAACCAAAGCCTACCCTCCCCACCTCCCCTGAAAAAATGAAACACAACCCATTATTAACAAAGCAAACCTCTCCCAGCAAAGTAATTCCCACCTAGACATAAAAATAAAAATAAAATTTAAAAAATCCAATGAGAATATTCATGCAACTATGTCTTAAATAAAATCTTTACAATATTTTTTTCCACAGAAAAAGTACGATCTCTACTGCCTATTGATCACACAAAAAAAAAACTGGCGAAATGGCACTTTTTATTATTATACTGTATTTCGTATATAGAAGGTTTGATACGAAGGGACTTATCAGGTAAGAGGGATGATGGTGTGAACTAGACGCTGCTTCCAGTCGGGGGCTGGAGCGTCCCTGGGGTGCGTTGTATCCATGCGAGCCATGCAGCATTTTTTTTTTTTTTTTTTTTTTTTTTTGTCCATTTGTCTGTTTGTTTCGGAGTCGGAGTCATTTATTTACATTACATTCATGCCTTCGTGCAACTTTCCACTCCTGCTTTGCCGTCAGGAGGAGGCCAACACCAGTCCTCTGCTCCCCTCATTTTCCCGGCCTCTTGAAAAGGGGTCGGTCCACAAGGGAAGAGGGCAAAAAAGCAAATCAAACCCCACCATAATTGAACAAAAGCCCAACAAAACCAGGAGCCGTGTTTCGCCCTGCCGGAGCCGAGGGAAGCTGTTCCTCGTCTGTCTGTCGCTGCTCCGGCCGCGCACGGGCGGGGGATGCGCGCACCGCGGCGGGCTGCGCAGCGCTGCAGGGATGCGCTCCGGCGCTGGGCTCCCCCCGCCGCCCACTGGGCCTCGGCGTTTGCTATGGGGGTCGTGAGGAAGGGCGTGCGTGTGTCTGTGTGTTTCTCTTCTGACAAAAGGTAGAGGCGGAGGTGCAGAGCTGTCCCCGGCCGGCGCATGGAGGGCCGGTCCCGGGTGGCGGCCGCCCCCGCCCCGCCCGCCGCCTTAGTCCGACAGGGAGTGGGAGCCGCAGTCGTACACCCTGTGGGCCCCGTCGGCGCTGTAGGGCCCGTTGTGCCAGTAGGAAGAGTCGCAGACCGTCTGCAAGGAGTTGATTTCAGATGCAGAGGAGTTGGCGTCCCTCCTCTTGGACCGTTTTCTGTTCCTCAGGATGAAAACCAGCATGCCAACCACTGTGAAGGCAGAGGTCACAAAAACCAGCAGAAGCCCTGGCACTAGCACCGAAATAGAGACCCGGCTGGTCTCCAAGTAGGAGTTGGAGTGAGTACCTGTCTCTGTCAAACCGGTGCTGTTTTTGTTAGTAGAAGTTAATGTGGGAGAGATTTTTAACTGAGGGCAAATCACATCATTGGAGAGAGACTCGAAATCCTCCTTGAAGAAGTCTTCAGGGGACTCACACCTCAGGTCACTCATAATCACCTTAGGGCGCAGCATCTCTGCCCACTGTTTGAAAGGCACGATAGGGCACGTACAGTCCCATGGGTTGCCGTGCAGGTCGATCTGGGTGATGGAGGTGAGCTGGTCCAACACCCCCGCCACCGGGAGGTACATGAAATAATTGTTGTGTATGCTCAGCTTGGAAAGTGAGACCCCGGCGAACACGTCTACTGGGAGAGACCTCAGCAGGTTGTTGTTGAGGATGAGGACTCTCAGTTTGGGCATCGCATTGAAAGTGCCAGGCATGATCATCTGGATCCCATTAAACTCCACATTCAGATACTCCAGGTTTTGCAGCCCAGCAAATTTCTCCCGGGACAGGGTGTCTAGGTAATTGCTATCCATGTAGAGCCATCGGAGATCAAAGAGGTTCTTGAAGGTGTTGTTCTCAACGGTGGCAATGTTGTTGTTGCCCAGATCGAGTAAATTAAGTTTTCGGTAATCCAGAAAGTGGGATTTCCTGATGGTGTGTATTTTGTTGTCTCTCAGAAACAGCTCTTGCACATTGGAGGGCTTGGGCTTCAAATCCACCAAGCTGCTCACATTCCTATCATTGCAATTAACCTTTAAACCCGAGCCAGGGATCTGGTCACAGCTGCAGATGTGCGGGCAGGAAAAGGTAGAGGGTAGTTTGCTCTTCGCACTCACTGTCGACACGGCAGCAGTGGGTTTGGTCTTGATTTGCCAGTTGACAGGAATCTTTGTACCTCCGTTTGGAGCAGATCCTGGCGTGGCAGGGTCTTCTTTGCCATGTATTTTAAAGGGGGTTGGAATGGGACCAGGATCGCAGGTTTCTTCTTCGGCAGGGGGAGCAGCTAGGCTGGAGTCTACTCTGTTCTTTTTACACAGCTCCTGCTCTGTGGTCTCATTTAAATCTTTGCCCTGCAACCTAGTGGGAGCTTCACAAATCACTCTGCCGATCAAAGCGTTTTTAGGTATGTTTTCCAGCCATTCTTTTAACGACAGCAGATCGCAAGTGCAGTCCCAAGGGTTATCCTCTAGCAGGATTTCAGCAATGCCTGGGATCTGCTCCAGGACCTCCTCGTAAGGCAAGGTTTTAAGACGGTTTCCCCGGAGGTCGAGGTGGGTGATCGGCACATACTGAAACACGTTGGGGGGCAAGGTGCTGATGAGATTGTCATTTAAAATCAGCACCTCTAGCTTGTTTAAGTCCCTAAATGCTCCCGGGTCAATATCCCGCAACAGATTAAAATCTGCCTGGAGGTATTCCAGATCGTCCAGCCCCAGGAAAGTCTGCTTCCTGAACGATTTGATCTTGTTGTTGTTTATGTGCAAGCGTTTCACCAGCTGCAGACCAAGAAAAGCCCCAGGAACAATCTCATGCAAACCGTTGTTTTCCATGTGCAAACTGACCGCATTGTAAAAGTTAGCAAACTCATTAGGGAAAAGTCGAGTCAGGGAGTTGCCATGCAGGAATAAATGGTAAAATTGGGAACTTGGGGCGGTGAAATGTTGCAGGCTGGTAAATCCCTTTTTCTCACAGTCTACGTGCAAATCCCCTTCTATCTCGTTGCAGGCACAGATCTTCTCTTTGCAAACGTCCCCTGTAACGTTTCCAGCAGCAAAACAAAGAGACGTCTCCAGCAACAGAATCCAAAGCAGCATTTTTAAACCGAGCAATTCATTCCCGATCTCATCACAAAGTAACAGCAACCATCCTCCTCACACGGAAAGCAATTCCAGTTCATTCAATACATTAAATGTCCGAACCACCAGCAAAGGGGGATATAAAAAAAATGTGTGTGGGGGAGCAAGGAGGGTCGGCGGAGGGGGGGGGGGATGCTTTCTTTTCTCCTCTCTCCCCCCCCACGCACAACTGCAACAGCCCAGATTCCAGTCAGTAATTATATCCACAAACTATCCAGGCACGTACTGCAAGGCAGGCGAAAAAAAAAAAAAAAAAAGTAGAAGGAAAAAAAATCCCCCTCCTCGCTCGCCCTCCCTGACGCCGGCCGGGCAGCTAAGCGGAGGTCTGCCGGCCGGGCTGGCTCACCGGCACGGTGCTGCTGGCCCCCGGCCGCCGCTGCATGTTAGGGAGGCGCGGGCGGGAGCGCGGCGCTGGCCGCGGAGGCTGCGCGGTGCGCGGCTCCGCGCGGACTGACCTTGCCGCGCGGCGGCGGAGCCGCGCTCCTCGCCCGCCGCCCGCCGGGCGCTGTCCAGCGCCGCGGTGCTGAACGCGCCCGCCCAGCCTAGGCGCTGCCCGCCGAGCCGCCGGCGCCGCGCCGCGCCTGCCCCCGCTGCTGCGGTGCGCGGCTGCCCATGCCCGCCGGCGGCCGGAGCCTGCCGCGGGGCCGGGGCCGGGGCAGGGGCCGCCCGCCCGCCCGCCCGTCCGCCCGCGCCGCGCCTCGCCTCGCCCTGCCGGCAGCGCTGCCTCCCCTCCTCGCTCCCTCGCTCGCTGCCTCGCTCGCTCTTTCCTTTTTCTTCCGCTGCTGCCGAGCCGCACGCTCGCACACACTCACATGCACGCAGAGGGAGAGTTGCTAAGAGGCTCTGCTCGTTTCAACCTGGTGCACACTGAAAGATCTGACACCCTCTGCTGAGCTGCAGTGGCAAAAATCCATCTGCTGAGGGAATGCTGGAGAAGGGAAAAAAAAAATCAATCCACGTACAGGGCAAGCTAAAAACGCTGGCATTAAAGGCTGTAGATCTATTTAGATGCGTTCTCCTAAATGGATTATTTAATTTATTTCTTTTCTTTTAAAATGGAAAGTTTAGCGTTCCTCTCCTCCCGACCTGTTCCTTATTGCCCCCATTCACACACTCACACCTGCACAAGGAGAGAAAGGCTCGTTTGCCTTATTGTATTTCCCAATGACTTGAACAGAATTAGTGTCAGAGTGTCAAGCGAATGGCAATTTGAGGTAATTATTCTGCACGCCATTTTTATCATTGCTTTAAAGGCGTTTCTTCCTCCCCTGCAGTCTATGGTGTTTTATGCTGGATTTTGTCTCTTGCTGGTGTTCTCTATGCAATGTGGAACCGTGGATTAATGCACTCTCTTTTTTTCATAATTTAGATGATCACAGAGAAGAGGGTAGGTAGGGGGGAGGGGACTGCTGCACTGTTAGCAGTTCACTCTACCTGCTCCCACGGAGTGTAGTGTCTCCCTTAAGGAGGGCAGGGGAGGGTAGAAACTGACGGTTATTCTTATCTCTATAAAAATCTAGAGATGCGTATATGTCCATGCACAGATATTTCTCTAGGGATGCTCCTTATATACTCCGTGGAAATAAAACGCCTGCTTCCCTCGACACCCTCCTTCTCGTCCCTTCCAACCCCCCCCCCCCCAACCCCCTCCGCTGCCCTTTTTCAGTTCCCACCCTTCTGACAAAAGAAGAGATTACACAGCGGAAAAATCGGTGCCTGGCCTTAAAGACAGGAGCCAAGCACGCGAAAGTTTCTGCATCATTTGGAGAGATTTCAAGATGCCTACGAGCAAAGAACCAGTTGCACCTCTGGTGGTGCAAGTGGAAACCCGCGTTTCCCCTTCCTCGCTCTGAGGAGGAGGAGGAGGGGGGGGAGAAGGAGGAGGAAGAAGAGGAGGAGGAGGGGGAGGGGGAGAAGAACGGGAGGAGGAGGAGGAGGAGGAGGCACGAAGGCGGGAGAGGCAGCCCAGCCTCCTGGTGCCTGCAGCCCTGGGCTGTGCCTCTGGAGTCCGGCGCCGCTGGTGAACTTTGCGGCATACTGGTAGGGATGTAACCGCGGGAGTGGGCTGGAGGAGGGTTATTTATAGGAAAATCCAGAGAGCCATATGGAGCCTGCACCCCTGGTCCAGGCGGCATGTTAATTTGGTCAAAGCTTCTCCCTGGCTACCGCTTGCAAACAAATTAGACATCCTGCCGATGATGATCTTATCAAATTAATGTAATTAGACCACAGACAAGTTACAACAGTTACCGTGGCCATTTCAAGTCCCCAGGATGAATATTTGGTCTTTTGGTTGGTTCTGGTTGCAGGGACTAGGGAGGGAGGGGGAAACGATGTAGGAAATGGGACAGAGGTAGGAAACAAAACAGAAAGAGAGAAATCCTGACCCTGAAAAAGCTTATCCAGTAAATTACAAATGTGCTAGAAGAGATAAAATGACACTGAGACAGAAAGCACCACAAGAAATATATCGTTGGTTTCACTAGGAAAAGAAAAATAGAAAAGGAAACTTGGCACCACATTGGGGCACATTAATTCATTTCTCCTGGTGGTTTCTTGGACTTTATCTCTCAGGGATGTAAGGGTGGAAGGATAGGGGTGCAAGGCTGTCTGGAAACCTTCTATTGATCAAAAATTGCAGCTTCAAAGTGCAAAGGGAACTGGAGGCAAGGAAGTCCTAGGACAATCCACAGAGAGGAGCAGGACAGACAGAGGAAGGGGAAAGGGTCAGAGTAGGTGTCAAGGACACATTTACTTGGTGTCAGCAGCAGTGACAAGATCACTATGAACAAAGTCTTTGCAGAAGAAAGACTGAGTATCTGGAGCCTGGTGAAGACTCACTGGGATGTGGGGCAGGAGGACTTGTTCTCCTCCTGCCTTAGAATAAAACTTCCAAGCATCTTTACCTTTATGCTATTAAAATTGCTCAGGCACCGTAAAAACAATCAAAATGCAACCAGAGGACCTGAACATTAACGAGATATTAAATAAATAAGTATGAATTGAATTAATGGAAGGAGACAATGACCTGTTGTCAAAGCGTGAAGGACAGATTTCCTGCTTCTTACAAAGGATCTGCTGAGAGGTGGGAACTGGTGGAAGCCATCTGGGGACCTGGAATTTCAAAGTAGTTAAACCTCAAAAAGTAAAAAATATGCCAAAAGAAATAAGAATATTTATGGATGCTATGTAGCTTCCAAAGGAGTATTTATCTAAGAAAGCCATTGTGTTTTCAACTGTATGCTTCGGAGATTGATGTCTTATATTTAAAATACATGTATTTAGAGAGCATCTGCTATGCAAAAGTTAACATCTAGGAGACAATTCAGAATGGAAGAAAAAAGGCACTATCCATTTTAGCTTTGATATCTGAAGTTTTTTATTCTATGAGTCAAGCTACATAGAAAGACCCAGAAAATTAATCTATCATTACTCAGCATCATAATTCTAATTTCTAGGTTTTGTAATTTTATTGAATTAACTTCAGAAACATGTATCTAAGGATAAGAGGCCCACCTTTGAGAGTTTGAAGGAAATACCTATTCCTGGGTCAGGTTGATTGGAAGCTGAAATGTTTTACTTTGTTACTTAGAGGGTGTGGTAATGTGAGAGAACACACAGTCTTGAAGCACCAGTTAGTCTGGGTCTTTAAAATTCAGTATATGCATCCAGTTTACAACCCATACACAGGTTGTATGAAAAGAACTCACATAATCCCCTCTAAATTATCCAGAAGATCAGATAAGGGAAAGCATACAAGCTATTGTCCTTGACTGTTATCTTTTACCTCATGTTTCTGTCTGCAATTCTAGAAGCCTAAAACAATTAGTTGACTGCTTATACCTTTCCTCTGGGTGTAAAGTCCATATTTAACCACATACAAGCCAAATGAAGCTGTTTTGAACAGAAATGGGTTTACTCATAAGATGGAAAATTACTTGGAATAGGAAAAGGTAGTGGGATACTTTGTTTTCCCAATTAGTAATCTCCCATCCCCCTGTTGCTATGGCTATATAAGTAACACTGGGTAAGGGTATATTTGTGCTACTTTGCAACATGTTAAAAAGCTAGTTACTTCATCTAGCACTGTAGAACTTGCAGAGCAGAACTCAGACCATCTGCAAAGATTTTAGAGAAGAAAGCAATTATTATGGTAGATATCCTGATTTCAGTGTTTGTGCTATGTACTGTAAAACTGGCTTCATTTTTTCTATGGAGTTCAGGCTTTGACTGTGGAATTTAACATAGGCTGGTAGTTAACATAGATGCCTCAATATGTTGCAGCTCCTGCAGAAACTTTGTTTCTCAGTGTATACAATGACTTTAAACCAGCTCAGATAAACAAGTTCTAACTAAGGGTAGAAGCGTTTAAGCTAATATCAGGATCTCCCCACAAAATTTTCTATCTCAGTATATTTCACAGGCCAGTCTTCACACATAGCTACTGGATGTCTATTTAAACTGCAATTAGACCAAATGAGGTTTCCAAAACAAGATAATTTTCTCCTTCATTTTTCATTTTCCTAAGGGTAATGGCATGTGAGCGTGTTCCAAGTCTCCCTGTGGTATGTTCACCAGACGGAGCTTTGCAAAATGATGCAGTGGCGGATGATGATGACTAAAAAAAAAAGAAAAAAAAGAAAGAAAAGAAAGTTAGAGAAGTGGTTTGCCTACTCTAGTGAGTAGGAGACTGGCTCATGATGAGAAAATAAAAAATTCTCTATCTTCTGCAGTGTAAGATCCAGCCCACATGTTTTTCTTTCTTGGCTCATACCCTCAACCACCGGGCTACCAACCCTCTTGCTGCAGCTGTTCTACTTTACAAGAAAAATAATTTTGAGATCCCTTGAACCATGGAAAAGCAGTAAGGGAGCATGAGTTACAGCACTTGCCAGGGTGTGCACAGCCCTGGGAGGACGTTGTCTCATGTGAGACTGAGCTTGATGTAATATATTTCACATATCAGATGTTTAGATTATGGGTAGTAAAATCCATCGACATTCTTCTCCAGTATACACTATTATCAGACTTTGAGGTAATTTTGTGTTCGAAATAGTGGCTGAATAGGTCACAGGGTTAATCTTAGAAGGTTAAAACTTAGGTGTCAGAAAAGGAAATAGGAGTCAGAAAGATGGACAGATTTTGCATTCATCATGTGTGTAGTCTGCCATAAAATCCATGTAGTCATTTCACTTTGAAATCCTGATGATGCAGAAGAAAGAGGTGTATTTAGTGAGTAGGCCAGGCCAAGAATCTGACCAGAATTTTTTATTTAAACTATATATATTGATCTGAGTTTCTGACCCAGTTTCTACTATGATTGCCTGCATTAAAGTCACTAAAGCACCTGTTCTAGCAGTTCTTTGAATAGGACCAAGCCCTACAGCTACTGTACTTTATGGTGAAAGTATGCAGAAGAGATGTTTGGTAAAGGAGTCAGTTCAGACAGTAATTTCTGTTTTATCTTTCTTTCTCTCTTTAATTTTTCTTTTATTCTCTATAATTTTTCTTTTTCATTTTCTCTTTATTTTACTGCAGTCTGTGGTCTTCTGGAGTGGCCTTTTGTTCAAATGTAAGGCTTACTAGAGGGAAAGAATTAATCCCCTTCCAAATTAGTAGTGACTTGACCCTGTGTCTTCTCTGGGAAAGTATCTTCTGCCCACTGTGCTATTGGTTAGAAGGAGAGTGATAGGGAGCTGAGCTGAGTCACCCACCTCCTTTTATTCCTCTCATCTCAAAACTCACTTTCACACATACACACACAGACTCACACACACACTTTAAAACTTTGACACAACAGAAGTGGGTTGTCTGTTTTCAGTGGAGAATTTCAAGTTGAGGAGCCCAGATAGAGAGATATGGTTTTGCTGCAGCCCTGAGCCTGGAACGTGAACTGAGATTTCACTGCAGCATTTCACTCAAAATGTCCCCCCAGCTGCATCTTCCATACTCTCAGTCCTGACATGAAGGCCTAGTTCTGCCTTTCCCAGAGCAGTACATGAGATGGTTGGCTGCCTGACTTGGGGACCGGGATTTCACTCCAGGCTTTATCTTCCCAAGTTTGGCATTGCAGCATTCGGCACTGCAGCACTGAAGTACACAGACTTTTTTTCACTCTGTGATAAAAGACATACATTTAGTCTGGGGAAAAACATTACAATGAAATTAACTGGAGCTGTGAGAAGTATTTGTTCTTTTAGCCAGCTATAACAGGAAATGCACTAGTATAACACTGCAGCCTTTAATAAGAAATGATAACATTTGCACCATAGTCTAATCTCAGCAAATTTTTTTTCCTAAGATTCCAGCATTATCATTTTAAGTACCTTGTTACAACAATTCTCAACATCCTGCAGGACATAACTTCCATATAGCGTGATCAATACACAATATAGTACTGCAGTTTTGCTATATAACCTCTTTATGGTTTTGATTGCTTGCTTATTTTATTCTTTCCCTAAGAGTGTCCCATGTCTGACTGAACACAAGCAAAAGTTTGAAACAGTTGGTTACTTTGCAACATTTTCAAGTGACTTAGATAGTTAATACCACTCATTCATACAGTTTAAAGTTAGTTAAAAATTATTTTCATCATTTTATAAAAACTTCAGTGATCAGACATGAGACAAAAAATCAGTATCATTTAGATATAGACAAGGCATTAAAAAAGTATCTTTCTCAACCAAAAAAAAAAAAAATCTTGCAGGAAAAAAACCTGTCCTAACTTTCATTCTATTGCTTACACAAGTAATCCCACTAAATAACTTTAGCTTGAATAATAGATCTATAATGTGTTTTCAATAATTAATTATTTTCTTAGCCATTTCATGGCACAGTCTCAGAGCAACATAAGGATCACATAAATGGAAAAATATAGACAAGAGCTTGTGTCTCTGCTCTCTCTAACTATAACTTATTTTAATATTTAATAATGAAAAGGAAAATGCTTCTCAGAATGAAGTACTGAGGCAAAGACCTGCCTCCACCAATAGTTTGCTGACATGACTCTGTGCATCTCATTTCTCTTTCCAATGGCTCAT